CATCCAGTGATATTAACGGATTTGATGCAGGAGAAATGGAACTTCCTGTTCCAGAAGGATATATTGAACTAGCTGCAACAAAATGCCTGATTTTATAGCTGACCATGGATCCAAAGAGGTAATGGAACATCGAATGATGCTTGAGGAGCCGTTCCCCACCAGTTTCGAAAGTGTTGCTGAAAGTGAAACGGATAATGTGCAGATGGGGATGGCACGTGATACACCAGTAATTGAGTCTTTATGTATCCCACCACTCGTCAATGATGATGAGCTACTCTCTGAGCCATGCAGAGAGTACATTGAATGAAATCGTCTCATCTCATCAGATTGGAATGCCCATAAAATCTGAGGAACCAGAAAGTCCAAAGTTAGTTCTATAAATTGAGAAGTACACTTTGGATGAGCGAACGGCAGCATCTGTACACCACAAAGAAGTTACCGCGAGGCTCAAGAGGATATTAAGGTCCGTTATCACTGAGATCTTTTGTCCTCTCAGGATTTACTCTACATTGGATGAAAGCTCACTTTACTCTCTCTTTTTCTGTGGTTAGGACATAGAAGCGTTACTCCTCAATAAAGAGAGAAATGAGAGAGCAAAGACGGTCGTTAGCATATGTTGTTTTATGTTCGCTGTCATTGGGACCACCTGTTCGGCAAACTATGATCGTAAGTAGTCTCCAAAACTCCGCAATCTCTACTTGTTTTTTTATTTTTTTAGGACCTTTCTTATTCGTTGACACTTCCGTCTCATGTTATTTACATTTTACCTAAACAGGAGAGCCATCCAACCGCCAGTCTGAACATCAATCATGCTGCAGTGGAGCGATATTGTAATTATCGAAGGTCATGGTGCAGGTTTAATGTTTCAGAGGTGGTTGCTCCAATTCTAAGAGCGAGAAATCCGCTTGCAAAATGCCTGGTCTGGAAATTGGCCGTTTGCCTGCAAATAGACAACAGTGGAGGTAAAAATAATCAAATGTTCTTGTCGTCGTTCCTCTGGAAGCTCATGGGCTCCGGAACAGAGGATGACGGGTGTGTTCTCTCTTCTCCTACCTTATCAATCTGGAGGATGCTTGTGAACAATCCTGCTGAGATCGGTCCTCCAAAGCCTTGCTGCTACTCTGTTGTTAGGAGGGTGGGATCTGAGGACTGCACCATGGCTGGCTTGTCTGCCGTTATATTTCTCGTCTCAGAGGGTATCCCATGGACTACTCTGCCTCTTCTGATCTTGAGCTGCTACGATTCGCACGGAGGTGGTTTTGATCCTCAGTCAGTGATCATCGACGGCTTGGCCCTTGGGCGCTTGAACAGGGCAGTTATAAGCAGCTACCGTGTTTTCTTCTTTGACAATGGGAACCTTACCAAGGGCTTCTTCAGTGATAATCATCTCAAAGGTTGTCTACATTGGCTGGTGGAAAATTCACCTCTCCAACCCCGTCTTCACCGGGTTGGGGTGCGTGACTTGGTCGTGGGCTTCTTGAATTCTTTGCTGGCTGCCCCGGAGAATTTTGAACCGTCTGAGGTTAGTCCGGGCCATTGTGTTGGCATCTTTAACAAGGCATTGGATCGTTCTGCGGAGGAAATCCGTGCAGCAGTGGATATGAACAGAAATGGCTGGCCGGGACCAGAGATCGACCTGCTGAGGGACTTACCCTATGATTCTCAAGTCATTCATATGTTGCCGAGAGTAGACTGGACCAGTGATGCAAGAATTGACCTCTTATTAGGGCCATAAAGAGATGTAGGCAGAAGGGAGCTTGTCTCGAACGCCGGGGTCCTCCCCACTTCAACATCCCAGGATGGGTCATGATCTTTCGTCGGATCTATAATTGGCGCCTGGTAGGTTTGTCCGGCGGGAAATTCACGGATGCCTATGTGATGGAGAAGAGACTTCCTGCAATGGAGCCGGCTCAGTACAACACTCTTCCCTGGGCTCCCCAGTTGGCGCGTTCCTCGTCTCGGATCCGCCTGGAGGAGTGGGTGGACACTGCCGGCAACGTTCTTTCGGCCCAGCGGTCCGAATCGATTGAGCCCAATGGACGGCAAACCTCCAAAGTATCTAATGGCGCAGTTGATCTTGTTATTGGCACTGCCGGCTGTACTCCCCCTTGGGAGAGCCGTGCTGACTATGTGGCTCCGAATGGAAAGGTTGCACTCGTTGATGGAGAAAAGTTGAGGGTGGATAGGTTGGCAGCAATGCTTGAAAAATGTAATAGATTGCAGGACTCCATCGGTCAGAAGCTTGCTGTTTATTTCTAATGGAATGGATGTGCCTTCTGTCTCTCTTGCAGAATTATTTCTCTGCTCTCATTGTTTGTTGTTCCTGCCTTTCAGGGTTTTTGTGCTCAGAGTGTCGGTTCTGAGTCGGAGATCAACTATTGGTGTAAGCCATGGTAAATGGGTTGTGCTCCCGAAAGGGGAGGGGAGGGGGGGTTGCCTCACTTGTCCTGCGTTAGACTTCTTTTATCCGGAAACGATACAAATTTTCAACTTATATTTGATAATACTAGTTTTGGCAACATCATGTTCATGCATCAGTAACCCGTTTTGAAGTTATCCAAATGGATACTTTGTCGACTCCAAGTTAATGTTTAGATAAAGCATAAAAAAAAGATTTCAGTAGGTGTTAACTTATCCTTCCCCTGAACATAGTCTAGTTTAATTTTTACACATACACAAAGGTAAATACAAGTGTCATTGTCTTAGGTGCACTCAGCCTGGTATGATATTTATGAGAATCAAGAACCATCATCTGAAGTTTTAACTTTGGTTTCCCTTTTTTCTCATCTTGCCATGTCATATAAACTGATTTTAATGTTGCATCCCCAATTGTGTTCAGTAATTAGGGCTAACAGAGTCACTGCATGGTCGTTTGGGGATCCATAATTGCTACCTTAAAGGTCATAGTTCTCTTCAATGATTCTTATTTTAAAACATTGTACAAACGTATAAATTAATTAATTGGGTGTTGACATTATATAAAGAAGAAGGAACGCTTTGATAGATGATTTTTATATTCCACTTGCATTCTTTAGACTCAAGCATGCCCGTGTGCAAGGTGTGTGATCGTTTGTCAACCCTCGCTAGTTTTGGATATATTCCCAAACAACATAGAGACGAGGTGAAAAAGGGGATACCTTCTTGTCGCAAGAGCATGTCTATTTTTAATCGGACTCAAGTATTGAACCTATAACACACTCTCAAGGATGAGATGTCACCTGTTCTTCAAAACGGGAGTAATAAAACCCTAAGAATGTTCTTCCCCATGTTTGATGTTTTTCAAGCAGTTCACTATCATTCGAGCAAGATCTTCAAACCTTCAAAACATTCTCTCTAACCATATTTGGGCTATTTTTAAGTCAGTTCGCTTTTACATTTGTTGTGCTCTTGAAAAGTTTGATGACAAGCGGAGGCTTGTCAGCATAAATAGGGGAGGCTTGTAGAAAAATTCAGAGTGGGTAGAAATAAGACCCCCTCAGCTACTGCCTGCGCCTTTCGCATTGTCTCTATCATTCAAGACTATTCAGCTAGAGCTAATTGCTCGACCAAGAAATTTTAGCATATGCATAATGATGACATTTTTCAATTGTTTGAACATTTCGGCGTTGGTTTGAATCAGTTGTTGCCCACGGGCTAGTAAATCTTTATAAAAGTGATACATGAAAGGGGGAACTTGGAAATCAGAACATTATTGGAGATGCCCTGCGATTAGAAGTTGCGTGAGGAAGCGTATGAAAGACTGGTTGAGCACTGGAACTATAACAAATGCTAGTGTTAGATAAAAAGAGGCCGTCACGTCACCAGACTATTGACCAATGATTATTTCTGGAAGGATGATGATTGCAGCGAAGAAAGCAGGCCTGCGGTGGAAGTCGCGGAAGCTGGCTCTTTGAGGCCCCTTTACACTAATGCAGAGGGGCCCGGTGGAGACGACTTCATCCAGTCTGAATGTTTATTATTAGTTGATGATGGCTTGATCTTGCTTGCGTATGAATAGTGCTCCTTCAGCAACTCTTTTTTCTTTATTTCACAAGTCGCATAGATAATGGCTTCCTACTTGATGTCCAATTAAGTTTCGCCGCGAAATTAAGAGTCAGCGGAAGAAATTTCGATTGAAGCTACCTAACGAGAATCTACAGCGGGGCGCCGGCAGGCTGCATGCCACGCGTTTCTCCATGCCAGGATGAGGCTCTCTCGATCACAAGTCCGCCGCTCACAACGCGGCGCTCCCCATCTTCACAAGGTAGACTCCCGTCTTAGATTGGGCTATGCATGTGGACCCCATTCAGAGATAAGAGATACTATCTAAGCCAGTCGACCCGTCAACGGGGAGGATAAAAAACTTGCTCCAAAATTTGTCATCAACGAAGGAAAACATGCATGCGTGAGGGCTTGTTCAACACCCGAACTAGAGAAAATAGCAATAATTGTAGCCTATAATTGATTTAGTCAGTTTATTCTCACGCCTTGGAGGGTGGCGTATATCAGGAAAACCTAACGCCCATCCGGGTGGGTTGAACATTCATGGATGGATTGTCAGGATACAACCAGATGTTGGTGACGGAAGCAGAGGGGGGAGAATTCACTGGTACTGCCCGAGAGGACAGATTTTTGAGGGCCCAAAGGAGGATAGGCTGTCTCGTCAGAAGGGTCGAGGCAGCTGGCAATTACAAACTCAGAAAGTTACCTGTCCCTGTACTTAATACTGGGGAGGGCTGGATGGGTGGCTAACATCCGGCGCTAGGGTCAACCTTCTTCGGAGATTTATGAGAGTTGAGCCAACCTATCCTGCTTTAAGTTGCCTGGAAAAGTTTCCCGTCGGAGTTCGCCTCAGCCTGCACAATTTGCAGCATCTATTGTGGTCTTCTCGTTATCCCCTCGCCGTTAAAGAGAACGACTTCGATTCCCCTCACGGGGTCTCATCTCGACCTGTACTTGGCCCGATCGAAGAATCTCCCCTTCTCCAAGCTAAGCCAGTCTTCAGTCACCCTCCTTGTAACATGACAATCGGGGAGATGATCCTAGGGGCCATCTTTCAAGCTATCCTCACAGACTTGCGCCACCTAATTCTATCAAGTAGCGCAGAGGCCCCAGATCTGGAGAAGGACCTTCGGAGTCTGCTGAGATCCCTCACGCGTATCCAGAGTATCCTGGAGGATGTGGAGAAGAACCAGGTTAACAAAAAGGAGCAGAAGCCCTGGGTGTTTGAATTTCGGGATGTACAGTACGAAGCGAACGACGTGCTGGACGAGATCAGGATGGAGTGTCTCAGGCGAAGGACCGTCCGCCTTCACAAGGTACGTGATACTGTATCTTGGATGAACCCCAACCGTCTACAATTCGAGAAAAATATAAAGGTTAGGCTCCGGCAGATAATTGAAGACATAGACAAAATTCCCACAAGAAACGCCTTTCCTCCGGCAGAGGCGCTACCTCATAGAATATCAGGTGATCAGGATGATGCTAAGCCGACAACTGGGAACGTTTCCAGCGAATCTGCCTTGTTTGGTAGGGAAGCTGAGATCGAGACGATCGTCAAACTGTTAACAAGTGATGGTAAACCTAGTTATAACGATCCCGGCGTGATTACGATTCAGGGAGTAGGTGGGATCGGTAAAACAGCCGTCGCCCAGGCTGTCTACAACCGCAAGGACGTCTCCAAAAATTTCTTCCTCCAGATGTGGGTTTACGTGCCCCGCCATGTAGCAATCACCAAGTTGACTAGATCGATTCTTGAAGCCGCAGGTGGATCTTCCAACCTCTCAGAGTTACACATGTTGCAGGAGCAGCTCAAGGAACTCCTGGCTGGGAAGAAGTACTTGCTTGTTTTGGATAACCTGTGGAATGAGAAGTCGGAAGATTGGGAGGAGCTCGTTTCAAACTGGGACGAACTCAAGAAGATCTTTCTAGCAGGGGCTCCGGGGAGCAGGATTCTTGTAACCACAAGAAGCCCAACAACCACCAGAATTACGAGGACGATAGGGCCATCAATACTTTTGCGCGGTTTATCTTTCGATGACAGTCTGTCCGTATTTCTCCATCATGCGTTTGAAAATCCGGTCGAATACAGAAAGGAACCTGAACTGGCCATCGCAGGGATGGAAATTACGGCGAAATGTTCTGGTTCGCCGCTGGCTGCAAAGACATTGGGAAGCCGTTTACGCGGTGAAGATAGATCAACGTGGGAGCAGTTCCGGAAGAGTGGCATGCTACATCTTAAGGAGAGTTGCTATGGGATCTTCAGGTCGCTAGAGTCCACTTACCATCAGCTGCCGCCTCACCAGAAGCGGTGCTTCAGGTTTTGTGGCTTATTCCCAAAGGGTCACGTGTTTGACAAAGACACCTTCATCCGCCTATGGATGGCGCAGGGATACATTTTTCCTAAGGAGATCTCCGCGGGAAATGAACGGCGGGTCGAAGACGTGGGTGGAGAATATTTCGATTCTTTCGTCGATCGGCTGTTCTTCGAGCCCATCGAGGGTTGCTCGACAAAGTACAAGATGAGTGGCCTAATTTCTGAACTTGCCCAGTTACTAACTGAAGGTGAGTGTTCTATGATTCACCATGATATGATGAGTAGTGTGCAGGAGACAATTCGTCATTCAGCTCTAATATTAGATCATCTTCACTCTAGCACCTCCGTGGGCTCATCCGGCCCCAGAAAGACGGCCCAAGATACCCTTGAATGTTTCTACAGCTCGAAGGGCTTATATACACTTCTGGTGCTTCCCGGTCACCCCGAAATCTGTTGGCAGCTGCCCCAAAATATGGCACAGAAGCTAAAACGTCTTCGAGTATTGGATTTCGGAAACATTGAAATTGAAAGTTTGGATGCCTCAATTGGGCAGTTGATACACCTGCGATACCTTGGGATCACCAGCTCCAGTATTAAAGGTCTTCCTGATTCTGTGAGCAACTTATACAACCTGCAAACTTTATGTCTTAGAAATTGCAAGCGACTGAAGACACTACCGAAGGATCTATCCTACTTAACCGGCCTTCGTCATCTTGATCTCCATGATGATGCCGATTTCGATGATGAAGTTTCCTTCTCATTGTGCTCTATGCCAAAGAATATTTACAAGTTGAAACTTCAGACGTTGTCCAAATTTGTAGTTGGCGGAAAACTGAAGGATTGCAGAATAAGCGAGCTCAAGAAACTGACTCAAATCCGTGGAGACCTCCGCATCTTAGATCTCCATAACATTCATCATGTAGATGAGGTAAAGGAGGAGATTTTGTCCGACAAGGAGTTCCTTTCCAGATTAGAGCTGCAGTGGTGTGGGAATCCTTCTTCAGGTGAATTAAGCTCCCTGCATGAACATGTGTTGAGGAAACTAAAGCCCCACACCAACCTCCAGGAACTGTGGATAGTGGGCTATAATAGATCTTTGTTTCCAGAATGGGTAGGTCATGCTTCCTTCTCTAAGCTTGTGAAGGTCAGACTCTCCAAGTGCAGAACGTGCGTACAACTACCACCCCTCGGCCGACTCGAATTACTAGAAGAACTTTGGCTTAAAGACATGGATGGCGTGGAATATGTGGACTGCCAATTCTGTTGTGGGAGCAACCAAAGAATTGGGTTTCCGTCACTAAGGAAGCTATCATTCGAAAACATGCCAAAACTGAAAGGATGGTACGGCGAGGAACGATGCAAGCTCCCTTCTCTCCAGGAACTTTATATCAAGAATTGCCCCTTGCTTCTTTGTTGTCACTCTATTTCTGATAGAACGAAAGTCAGCTTCATCTAAGTTGAAGCAGGGTGGAAAAAAAATTCCCACTTGTCCATATTTAGGTACCTATTTTCCTTAGCCATGTAGAAGACTTGTTCAACCTCATAAATAATTTCCGTTCCCCAATTCCATGTAATATCTACTGCAATTCCACTGTGAACTTGCAGGAAGTCTTACAATGGGGAAGTTTGCTTATATGTGTTAGTTTGGCCACAGGTTTCCATTATGTCTTTTTGGTAGTTGTGCCATAGGGCCAGGCTAGGCATGAGCCATGATAAACCTTGTCTTCTCATATTTTCTTAGAAGTCCAATTCAGATACCCGGAGGAAACTTAGAGATTGGCTACACAATCAGATCCCTTTGAAACCCCATTGTGACTGCTCTAGTAAGCCACAGGAGGAAGAGAAATGAGAGAGAGAGAGTGGCAGAGAGAGAGAGAGAAAGAGAGATGGCTCATGGAGCATGCATAATGAGAGTAAAAAAATTATTTATTTTATTTCTTATATATATAGATATACATGAGATTATGAAGGGCAAAATTAAATCTAAAAATAGTGAAAACAAGATAAATGAAAATTGTGGCAAAAGAGAGAGAGAATAGATCTGATGTAATAAAATAATAGAATAAATGATAAAATTAGTTCAAACTAAGAGTTAATCCATCTATAGAGAAGATTATAAGTATGTCCCAAATTTAGATCTTACACAAACTTCATTATGTGCTAGTCCTAAGTCGAGTGGTGCTTAATTCATGACAATCTTGATGCGCTCCAAGCAGCCTCTTCTCCATGACAATCTTGAGCACGAAAATACGATTGACCAGGTTTTAAATTTCCTTTTTTTTTCTTTGGCTAGCTACTATTAGAGAAAAAGTTAAAAAGCTCTCTCTAAGAGGGGGACAAGAGGCCTTAAACCTCTAGAGAATTAGGCCCTTCTAATAGACAGTTATGATTAATAATTGACTATGTTAATGGACGACTCAGATTCTTTCATGAGGGCTACACTCTAATCCTCCTTTATTAGTCTCATCTTCAGGTGCCCTAAGATGAATGGCTTAGACCTCATCTCTTGATAACCTTTTTATGTCCCAATGGACTAAGCCAAGGTTATGTGCCGCTTAAGGTCGAAATGGGCTTGACCAAGATGATACCCTCTCTTGGGCCCATAAATATATTAGGTCGGCCTCTTGATAAGATTTGGATTTTTCTTCGACTAAAAACTTGAACTTCTTCTATTACTTCTAACTCATAATAAAAGCTCACCAAAGTCCTTACAATCATCACATGACTTTAAAAAAGTCAAGTGGGGTTAATCTCATAGTATCAATAAAATAAGTAAAATAATATATATTAAGATGTAAATAATAAAATATTATGAATGTCATAATGAGTCCATAACACATGTATAATTGTATTCTCTACCTTTAACTAACATCTATATATAAGATATTAATATACAGATACAACTACTCATTTATAATTATCAAAGATCTAGACACATAATAATAGAATTTTTTTTATTTCTTCACAAATCTGTTGCTCAAATAAAAATTCAATACATTTATATAACGTTTTATTTTACTTTGTATAGCCATTCTAAGATTATACATGAATTATTTCCTCAATTTATTGTAACCTCTTTTCGTTTTGGATTGGCATAAGCAGCATTTGAAAATTCTTACATTGCACATTGGATTAAGATTTTGGACTTCTTTTTATTAATTGAAAGAAAGCACTTGCACTCAATAAATTAATTCAAAAACTTTTTTCTTTCTTCAAAAGGATGAGGAATTTTTTTTTGAAAGATGCTCCTGAATTAAAAGCTCTGATGAAAGCAAAGCGGATGAAAGAGCCTCCACCAATCACTTCTTTGGTCTAGAGGTCCTTCACCATACAATAATCAGCTTAAAATTTGACTGAACACCGCTTGCTTATCATCACATAGTTGCCCAACAGAGATGAGATCCTTTTGAATTCCATATTCGTAGTTGCAATCGGATCTATTCATTAAAAAGAATAGGTTAAGTCAAACACTAAGCAATATTCTGCTAAATTGGAATAGCTTCCATTGATGACTTGTTTGGAACAGATTCCATTTAGAGAGATTTGAAAGAGCACTATCTCGTTGAAAGGTTCTATATATCTGCTGTTTCTTGGGGTGTCAAGATGATCTTGGGAACCAAAATCAATGAATGGATGAACTCTTAGTGGCTCTGATGAACCGGAAGTGGGATACCGTAGCCGAATTCTTTATAGGATCCGGATCCAAAAGCTTAGTTGGATCCCTTCATGAATTAACTTGACCACTATTTGTTCCCTCATAACAGAATTCGCAGTGGAGCATGTGGTTAATTTGATGCAAAGCGAAGAACCTTACAAGGGCTTGACATGCCGTGAATCCTCTTGAAAGAGAGGGGTGCCTTTGAGAATGCAGACACAGGTGGTGCATGGCTGTCATCAGCTTGTGTCGTAAGGTGTTGGGTTAATTGATAATAGGTCTTCTATAAAGTGGATCGAATAAAAACCCTATTCAAAATTTAGAAAGTTGTGTTGATCATCATTTATGTGAAAATTAGGCATAGAGTTATCTTCACGTGATTAATCATACACAATGGCACATAATTCTCAAATTTTGAGGAGGGAGTGCAATAAATTCTAGCTCTTTTCTTAGTTTTTGAATATTTTCTATTCTTTGTTTTTATATGGAAATAATTAAGAGTATAGGTGACCTGAGTTAAATGATCTAAAAAATGATTTAATGATCTTTGATCAAATGCTACATCTTATAGAGTTTAGTATAATGTACATTGATTTCTTAGCCACTAGATTTTAAATAGTTAGTTTAATTATGCATATCACTAGTCAATTGTTGATTATGTCACAATTACGAATTTTAATATTGAAAATTAATCACATAAAGACAATAAAAAAGTACAAAGTCTATATGAAAAGCACTAACTTGAAAATCAAAATCAAAATCATTAGACATAGTTTCTTTCATTGTGTAAATATGCTTTTATGACATTATATGAACAAAAGATATGTCAAAAAATAGATATATATCAACTGAAATCAAATTAGAAGAAAAAATATTTAAAATTAAAATAAAAAGAGAGAGAAAAGTGACAACTAACAAAAGTGTTGTCAGCCACAAAAAGGTGTGCCAATCTATTGTGGTATTGAGAGAGACTAGGTAGACCTATGGGTTGACCAAAGCATTTTGACCATATCTAATGAAAGAGAAAATTATATGTTCTCTATGTAATCTAACAATATGACATCATAGAGAATCAAACCCATGAAAACAAGATATCCAGCAAAGTCGTTATTTCCTAACAAGTGATAATATCAAATATATTGCTTCATTTGTCAAAATTTAGTGAAATCAATAATTTAATTGAATCCTTTGACAATTAGTCTACCCATATTTCAACGTAAGAAATCTTTGACAGGTCAAATCTTAAATATTTGATTTACAATTGTTAAGATATTGGGTTCTATAAATATTCATTTGGAATAATTTCCAAATAATTGCTCGATGATCAATCATCTATTCCTACACATATCTAAATCTACTTGAGGAAATATCCTTCGCATTTTTGCTCATCCATACTTCCTCCCACATTCAAATCTCTCACAACATTAGAAATACTTTGAGGGAGTACTAATTTTGGTAGTGATGTTAGCTGATGTCTTGGTGTCAACCATGTAAGGATAAACTTGTTAAAATTATCATGTTAGGATTCATTGACCCCAAAAATTTCAATCATACTTTTAAAGAAGGCTAATGAAAATCAAGGGTGAAAACCTTTGTTAAGTGGGCATAGGCAAGAGAAAGCACAACTATAAATCTCACTCCTCTATACACCATAATTTAGTGCATCAATATAAACAAAGTTAACTTGATCTAGGTCAACCCAAGCCTATCTATGTTGACTCAAGCTTATCTATGTAAACCCAAGCCAATTGGGATTATCATGTTAGTCATAAGACATCTCATGAATATAATGTGGTAATTTCAATACATAACCTACTACAAGCTAAATTTGAATTATGTGCACTTAAGTAAATATTTTCATATTTCAATTTAAACATCGTAGTTGAGTACTATAGAATTTTTTTGATAATTGATAAATTTAATCAGTAAAAAAAATATAAATTTAATAATATAATCAACAATTGAACTAATATGATAAGCACAATTAAACTAGTCAGTCTACATTTGAGTAATTTTGAACTAATAGTTTGTGCATTGAATTAAAATCTATAAGATGTAGCATTTTGTCAATTATTATTAAATCCATTTTGAGTTCATTTAATTCAGGTCATTCAAACTCTAAAATCTTGTCATCAGCAAATTAAAAAACTAACATATTCAAAAACTCTCTTTCTTTTATTGTATACTCAAGTTTTAGAGTGATATGAGTATCCTATGTTCTTCATCACTTTTTGGATAAAAAAAATTCATTTTTTTTTCCTTTCCATTTTGATAATTTCATGAGAATGTAGAATTTACATCAAAATGGTTTTAATAGTTGATATTTGGATTTTTTTCTTTAAGAATATCTAATCCTAATTCATTTTATTTTAGTATCTTTTATTAATAACGTGTTCAGAAATGTTTTTGTAAATTATTATCAATGATCATTGTCCTACAAATATCCTTTAGATTTTATTCTTTTTCTCAGCTTTATGATTTTTTTGGGGTGTTTTCACAAATGAAAATTCTAGTCAGTTATCTAGATGGTGATATAATTAAAAAAACTTTAAATTCTTAAATTATCCTCAATGATCATTAAGAATCCTTTTTATTTTTTAAGTTTTTTATTTTCAGTTTTCTCTTAGAATTTCATAAATGAGTTTGTCACATCCTTATAACTAGGAAAAGACATCCAAGTATACCTCACTTAATAGTCCACTATCATAAACCATAAGCTTTTCCTCCTAGGCTAGATGCCATAGGTAGACCAATAGATATATGTCTATAATTTCTACAGGTTTTGTTTTTGACGTATAGTC